TGAGAGAGCGTGATCCACCGCCGCTTTACTGTAGAACATTCCCCCCCTCTTCCTCCGGAACCAGGGGGTCCCCGCCCCCCCCAGGTCACTACCGGTTCGACCCCCCCCACGCCGCAAACCGGGGGGGGGGGGTCACTACCGGTTCGAACCCCTCCCCCCCCCCTCACCGCCAGCAAACGACTCCCGGTCCCTACCACCGTCCGCAACACATCCCCCACTGCTGTTCCCAGCACCACTGTCCTCACCACCACTGTCCACACTGGTTCCACCACCGTCCCTACTGTCCCCACCAGTGCCCCCACCACTGTCGCACTGTCCCCACTGTCCCCACCACTGTTCCCACCACGGCTCCACTCCCCCCACTTTCTCCACGGCCCCAACCACTGCCCGACTATCCCCACTGTCCCCACTGTCCCACTGTCTCCTCCGCTGTCCCACTGAGCTGTCCCACTGTTCCCACCACTGTCCCCACTGTCCTCACCACTGTCCCCACTGTCCCCACTGTCCCACATTCCCACTGTCCCCACACCACTGTCCCCACCACCACCGTCCCCACCACTGTCCCACTGTCCCCACTGTTCCCACAATTGTCCCTGCTGTCCCCAGCAGTGCCCCCACCAGTGTGTCAATGTCCCCACTCTCCCCACCATTGTCCCACCACGGTCCCACTCTCCCGACTTTCCCCACGGTCCCCACTACTGTCCCACTGTCCCCACTGTGCCCACCACCACCGTCCCCGGCACCACCGTCCCCACCACTGTCCGCACCCCCCTCCGGTTTTCGAGGGGGGGGGGGTTCGAACCGGTAGTGACACCCCCCCGGTTTTCGAGGAGGGGGGGGGGGTTCGAACTGGTAGTGACCCCCCCCTTTTCATGATGGACCAGGGGGGGGGGGGGGCAGGGATTCGAACCGGCAGTGACCCCCCCCCGGTTTTCCGGAAGGGGGGGGGTCGAATCGGTAGTGACCCCCCCCGGTTTTCCGCCAGCAGCGGTAGAACACTCTCGTCCTCCCCAGTGAGTATTGTTTTTGTTGCTGTTCTTGGTTTGTTATATATAAGATGGAAGCAATATGAGGGTCTAGCCGAATACGAACTCACAATTTGCCCCGAGATGCCCTGCCAGAGAAGCCCCAAAACTCGGGAACGGCGCTCTCTCTCGAGAGACTCTCTCGCGCTTAAGCGAATTTGTTGGGGGGCCCAATTACGACGATGACGGCTTCTGCTGAACATTTGATCATAAGTTACTCCGAGACGCCCTGGCCAGAGAGGCCTCCAATTTCAGGGTCAGCGTTCTCGCTCGAGACTTCCTCGCACATCAAGCAAGTTGGCGACGTCCCAACTGCGACGACCAAGGCTCCTGCTGGACACTTGCTCACAATTTACTCCGAGACGCTCTGGTCACTGAGGCCTCCGAACTCAGGAACGGCGCTCTCGATTGAGACTTCCTCTCAAGTCGCTCAAGTCGTTGGAGGCCCAACTACGACGACAACGGCGCCCGCTCGATACCTCCTCACAATTTACCCCGAGACGCCATGGCCAGAGGGCCCGAACTCAGGAACGGCGTTTTCGCTGGAGATGTCCTCGCAGTTGAGCTATGTTGTTGGAGGATCCACTGCGACGATAACGGCTCCCGCTCGATTCTTCCTGGGAGCTTATTCCGACATGCCCAGGTCACATGCAATATCACACTCGCGACTTGCGAGATGGCCGGAGATGTCCTCTCAATTCGCTAAATTCTGTGAAAGCCAAATTAAGACAACAATGACTCACGCTCGATACCTCCTCACGGTTTCCTCTGCGACGCCGTGAAATCACAAAATTCAGGAAAGGTGCTCTCTACCGAGACTTCCTCGAACTTCGCTCAATCTGGTGAGTTGCCCGCGGGCGCGTTAGCTCGCATGACGGCCATGCCGGCGCGGTGCGCACACAGACCGCACTGCCGCATGCTTCTCCCGGGAGCTGGCATGAAAAGCACCTCCCCTAGCAGGGGGGTGACTATGGCGCGCGGCTGCAGGGGAGGAGGCGAGCACAACAGAGGGTCAAAACGGCTTGCTGGAGCCCATGTTCGCAAGATGGTCGCCGTCGTGGTCTGCCCCCGAGCTTCGGCCTCTCTCTGCAGCCCCCGGGGGGCCATCCCCCGCGCTCTGGGGCGAGGGCTGCGCCGCGCGGGCTGCCCCCCGCCAGGTGCCTCCGCTGGCGGCGCCTCGGGCGGCGGGCCTCGCGGGAGGGAGCGCCACGTCGCCACTCCTCGCACGAGCGCTTACGCTCAGGTCGGGCCTGTCCCCCCTGCAGGGGGATTTTGAAGGACAAATGAAAACAATCCCAAAAATACCCCCAACTAGTCCAAGCATGTGCAACAAATAATCCCCAGACTATTTTTCCCGACCTAGGCTCTGCCTAGAGGGTTCTTACTTTGTTTGCTTAAAGGGGCCGGGCAGTGTAGGCCGCCCCGGGCGGTTCCCCCAGTCCCCGCCCCGCGGTTCCCCCAGTTGCGCCCCCTGGGTTCACCCAGCTTAGCTTAGCTTATCTCATCTTAGCTTAGCTTAGCTTTGCCTAGCCTAGCCTAGCCTAGCCTAGCCTAGCTTAGCTTAGCTTAGCTTATCTCATATTAGCTTAGCTTAGCTTAGCTTAGCTTGGCTTGGCTTGGCTTAGCTTAGCAGAGCCTAGCCTAGCTTAGCTTAACGTAGCTTATCATAGCTTAGCGCAGCATGGTATAGCATATCATAGCCAAGCATAGCCAAGCATAGCATAGCATAGCATAGCATAGCATAGCAAAGCATAGCTCAGCATATCATAGCATAGCATAACATTGCTTAGCATAGCACAGCGCAGCATAGCATGGCACAGCACAGCATACTGTTGTGTTCCTAGAGGCTCCAACTCCTGGGTAGGGTCGCACTGGGATAACTGTCATAACTATTTCTGAAGATCCCCCCTGTGGAGGGACAGGCCCGACTGAAGCTCACGCGCAGCGGGCACCCGGGCACCATCGGCACCACGCCTGGCCAGGGCCCGCCCCGGCACCTGGCACGCTGTGTGCACTCCCCCGGCGCCTCGGCCGGGAGGGTCCGTGCCGCGTCCCAGGGCCCAGGGCGGCCCTGGCCAAGCATTGGGTGGCGCGGTGGTGTGGGGGTGCGCTCTGCGGGGCGTGCGCGCACGCGCCCCGGCACCCGCAAGCACACGCACGCGCATCCACACGCACAGGCACCTGCGTCTGCGAGCACGCCGCGGCGCGTCGCGGCGCGTGTCAGCGTGCGGATGCAGCGCTCCGCACAGCACGTCGCCGGGCAACATCTGCGATCACGTCACGGGAAAGCTGCAACGCCCTCCTCCCCGTCCTCGTCCTAAGCTTTGCCACCGACCTTCAGGGATGAATGAGGGATGAATGTGGACATGTTTGAATGACTTGCATGGTTGGGGCTCTTGTCGCTCGAGGCCAAACCTTGCTTGGCAAACCTGTCCCGAGGGCCCCAGGGAGCAGCGGATACGAAGATGGCTGAGCCTCAAGAACACGAAAGTATCCATACCACCGCGTCCCGATGTCCAAGCAAATCGGTTCTCCAGGCGGCGGATATGTACCGGTATGTTCTACAGGATCGGGACCAGAAACAAAACCCACCATTTCCTTGTCGTTTTCGTTTTCGTCGTCCTCCTCCTCCTTCTGACCTAGCAAAATACTGTACACGCATAAACTCAAACGCCCGGAGGTCCGCGCAGATTTCCTGCGCCGGCGCTGGACCACCTGGAGCGCGCCTCAGGCGGCGCCAGAAGCGTCGCCAGGAGTCCAGCGTCGACCCCAGAACTCCGCGCGGACCTCCGACGTTCATGTTCGTGCAGCCTGTCTGATCCCCGAGGACATGCTGCCCCGCCTGTTGGGGGGCTCGTCGCCCTGGCAACCTCCGCGAGCCAGCCTCCGAACAGGCGCGGCCAGCGCGAGCGGGTGGCATCCACAGCCGCACCGCGAAGGGGTGCTGGCGGGGAGTGGCGACCAGCCCGACCACGAGGACAGAAGCAAGACCGACGGCGGAAAGACATCGGCGGCGAGCCCCGAGGCCGGAGGCCTTCTGAGAAGCCCCGCCGCCTTCTGAGAGGCCCCGCCGCCTTTCCACTCCCACCCCTCGCGTGCACGGTTTCCCCTGGGGCTGTAGGCGGCCCGAGGAGGAGGAGGAGGAGGAGGAGGAGGAGGAGGAGGAGGAGAAGGAGGAGGGAGAGGGGGAAGGGGAGGAGGAGATGGAGGAGGAGGAGGAGGAGGAGGAGGAGGAGGAGGAGGAGGAGGAGGAGGAGGAGGAGGAGGAGGACGAGGGACGAGGGACGAGGGACGAGGGACGAGGAGGAGGAGGAGGAGGAGGAGGAGGAGGAGGAGGAGGAGGAGGGAGGAGGAGGAAGACGAGTCGCCCAAGCCCTTCGGAGAAACCCTCCACCCTCGCTCGCCGCCAAAGAACTGACGGCGGAAAGACACGCCGGAAACTGGACAGCTCCGACCGAGCCGCTCTGGGGAGCCAGGCAGGCGCACAGACCCTTTTGGCACGGGCTGCCAGGAGGGCGAGCGCACGCCAGTCCGGGCCCCCGAGTGGCTCTGGCCGGGGCTCGTGGCGGCGGGAAGGGGATGAGCGTGTCGGCTTCCGAAGAGGGAGAGAGTCACTGCACCGGCCTCGCAGACGTGCTGCAGCGGATTTACGCGTGGATTTCTGTCAATACAAAGGCCCGAACTGGCGAGCGAAAAACGAAGTGAACTTCGCGTGGATTGTTTGTAGTCTTCATTCCTGGCCAAACAAAACCCGCGCGAAATTCACTTCGAAATCCAGAACGAAATTCTCCAGAACATTCTGGGCCCATCCGATGGTTTTCCGAACGAAATCCGCTCTGCGATGTTGGCGCCATGAAGAGAGAGAAGCGGAGGGAGGCGAGAAGCGACGACGAGGAACGCGGGAGCATGGAACGTCGGAGACGACCAGTAAGCGCAAATGGGCGAGCGGGGACAAAAATACAGGAAGCCGAAGAGGACCAAAGGGACGCACGATGGGACACCCCCTGGACAATTCATTCATATGCCCCCGGCATGCAACATGACCTCCAGCACGACACCCCCCGCCAGACTCGGCTGCGCACGCGAATCATTTAATGGGAAACTCTGGCAAAATTGGCACGGTCCCGTTCACATGATGTGGGCGCCGTGCGATCTGCAAAAATTGAAACAACTGAGCCAACTGTGCTCAAGTCGACAGACTGATAGACCCTGCTGCGGCGGAATGCCCGCCAGCATGGCTAAAATTGATGGCGTGGCGTGCTGTTGGCTGTCAAGCGGCGGTTGGCAAAGAAACCCTGAACATATCAGAACTGTGTCCTGTACTATGAGGCGCAGCATGTGGATGATGACTCATGGCGTAGACCATGCTATGCACAACGCAGCACATACACCGCAGCAAGAACAGCACGGCACGTACGACGAGGCACGCACTATACACGATATCCGACTCTGGTTTCGCAAAGCATACGTAACATCAGTGTGCGCCTGCGGTGAAGACGAAACAGCTAGTCACCGATGTTCATCCACGCGTGAGCACTGAATCGGACAACGGGTCTGGGCATGCGGGCCGCTTTGGCCGCCATGTGGCCGCCCTGTCGCCGCCTCGTCGCCACCCGTCGCCTGGGCCTGCGGGCCGGCTCTGGCCACCAAGTGGCCGCCGTCGCCGCCTCATCACAGTCCGTCGCCGCCCGCCGCCAGGGCCTGCGGGCCTTTCTGGCCGCCATGTGGCCGCCGTCGCCGCCTCGACGCCGCCCGTCGCCGCCCTGTCGCTTGTGCCTGCGGGTCGTCGTCGCCAGCCGCCTCGTCGCTGCCCGCTGATCATTGCTTCGCAATGCCTTGCATTGTTTTGCATGGCTTCGCATTGCTTTGCATTGTTTGGCGTTGCTTCGCATTGCTCTGCATGGTGTTGCATTGCTGTGCGGTGCGTTGCGTCATTTCGGGCGTAGTCCGAATTTGTTTCTCGCGAAGTGAACTGGACTACAGTGCACTGAACAGACTGGTCGCACCCGTTACGCGACGGATTTGTTATCGGCCGCCAAGGGCGCAACCTGTGGCGCAAGCGATGGGCGACGGTTTGATTATCGGCCGCCGAGGGCGCAACCTATGGCGCAACAGATAGGAGACGGTGTTATTCTCGGGCGCCAAGGGCGCGACCGATAGCGCAACCGATAGGATACGGTTTTATTCTCGACCGCCGAGGTCGCAACATATGGCGCAACCGATAGGAGACGGGTTTAGTTTCAGCCGTCGAGGGCGCAACCTATGGCGCAACCGATATGCGACGGCTTTATGCTAGGCCACCGAGGGCGAAACCTATGGCGCAACCGCTAGGCGACGATGTTATGTTCAGCCGACGAGGGCGCAACCTAAGTCGCAAACGATAGGAGACGGTTGTATTTTCAGCCGCCGAGGGCGCAACCCATGGCGCAACCGATAGAAGTCGGTTTTATGCTAGGCCGCCGAGGGCGCAATTTACGTATGGCGCAACCGATAGGAGACGGTATTCTTCTCGGCCGCCGAGGGCGCAACCTATGGCGCAACCGATAGGGGTCGGTGTTATGCTCGGGCGCCGAGGGCGCAACCCATGGCGCGACCGATAGGGACGGTGATATTCTCGGGCGCCAAGGGCCAAACCGATTGCGCAACCGATAGGAGACGGTTTTATTCTCGGCCGCCAAGGGCGCAACCCATAGCGCAACCGATGGGAGACGGTCTTATTCTCAGCTGCCGAGGGCGCAACCTATGGAGCAACCGATCTGCGACGGCTTTATTCTCGGCCACCGAGGGCGCAACCTATGGCGCAACGGATAGGAGACGGCTGTATGCTCGGCCGCCGAAGGCGCAACCTATGGCGCACCGGTAGGACACGGGTTTAGGTTCAGCCGTCGAGGTCGCAACCTATGGAGCAACCGATAGGAGACGGGCTTAGTTTCAGCTGCCGAGGGCGCAACCTATCGCGCAACCGATAGGAGACGGTTTTATGCTCGGCCGCCGAGGGCGCAACCTATGGCGCAACCGATCGGGGACGGTATCCTTCTCGGCCGCCGAGGGCGCAACCTATGGCGCAACCGATAGGAGACGGCTTTATTCTCGGCCGCCGAGGGCACAACCTATGGCAAAACCGATGGGAGACGGTTTTAATATCAGCCGCCGAAGGCGCAACCAATGGCGCAACCGATAGGAGACGGCTTTATTCTCGGCCGCCGAGGGCACAACCTATGGCAAAACCGATGGGAGACGGTTTTAATATCAGCCGCCGAAGGCGCAACCAATGGCGCAACCGATAGGAGACGGCTTTATTCTCGGCCGCCGAGGGCACAACCTATGGCAAAACCGATGGGAGACGGTTTTAATATCAGCCGCCGAAGGCGCAACCAATGGCGCAACCGATAGGAGACGGTTTGATGCTCGGCCGCCGAGGGCGCAGCCGATAGGAGATGGTTTCATTCTCGACCGCTGAAGTGCCAGGAGAAGGAGGATGAGCAGGAGGAGGAAGAGGACAAACGAGGACGAGGTCCTAGACGATGACGAGGAGGAGGAGCTGGAGCAGGACGACGACGAGGAAGACGAGGAGGATGAGGAGGACGAGGAGGAGGACGACGACGACGATCAGGATGGTGAGGAGGACGGGGAGGAACACGAGTAGAAGGAGGACGAAGTGTGGGTATTCGAATGCTCGCGGGGCTACGCCCGATTTATGCTCGCTGTTTGGGCTGGCGGTGGGGCTCAAGCGGCGAGCTGTCTTGTGATTGCATTGCCATCGCACTGCGTTGCAATCGCATTATGCTGCACTGCGTTGCATGGATTTGCATTGACTTGCAATGCTATGCCGTTCTTTGCATCGCACTGCACTGCTTTGCATTGCTCCGCATTGCGTTATATCGCTTTGCACTGCTTCGCATGGCGGTGCATTGTTTTGCATTGTTTTGCCTGGCTTCGAATGTATGTGCATTGCTTTGCATTGATGTGCGATGGTTCGCATTGCTCTACTTAGTGTTGCGTTGGTTTGCTTTTCTTTGTATTTGTTTGCGGCTTTGCGATGCTTTCGCAGTGTTTTGCAATCGCATTACGTTGCACTGCTTTCACATGGATTTGCATTGACTTCCTTGCCATGCAGTGCTTTGCATTGCACTGCATTGTTTTGCATGGCCCCACATTGCGTTGCATTACTTTGCATTGCGTGGCTTTGCGTTATGTTGCATTTCTTTGCGCTTGTTTGCATGTGGTTGCGTTGGTTCGCATTTCGCTCATTGGTGGGCATTGCTTGCTGTCTGTGCGTCAGAAAAAAAACGATATTGACGTGTAGCTGGGGCTTGCGCACACATGCACACATAAAGGCATACATTCATGTACGTGCGTACGTACGTACGGACACAATCCAAGTCTCGGCACAAGTCAGGGTTTCCAAGATCACCCCGGAGCGTGGGGTCGCAAGTCCCCACCCAAATGGCAATTTGATGGCACGATCCTGGCGAGACGAGCGTGGCAGCTTTGCTCAGGGCTGCTCAAGACTGGTCCACATCAACATCATGCCAGACTAGAGCATCCACGCGGCAAACGGCAATCAGTGCGTGCTGTCCGCCGGGCGTTGCTGGGTGGCTCGTGCGTCTACAGGGGAAGACCATCTGATGTAGGCCAACTCGTTTCCCTCGCCAGCAGAAGTCGTATGTCTGATGTCCATGCACGCCTAGGCAGATTTTCTGGAGGAGCTGACGTGTTCGACTGGCTCCCCCATCCACCTACAGATTCTCGAAGGCGCCTGCTGTGTATGGGGTTGAAGTACAAGGGTACAGAACCCCTGATCCGTTGGTAGAGGGAAGGAGGGATAGATGGATGTCTTTCCCTCCTGCACGATCAAAGGTCTGATCGATCTGTCCCAATACCTGAGCCCAAACGGCCAGGCGCAGGAGAGGTGAGGATTAGGAGTATATATGAGGGTATTACACGGGTTCTATTCACACCTGCATGTTCCTTTGGGGAGGGGTGATCGTCGCACTCGAGGCGTTGCAGTTTGGAGCTTCGACTGCGAAAGCTGATGCACCGTCGGCCGTCTGGGCGAGCTGCTCACGGTTGCTCCATGTGCAGGTGCGGCTATTGTTTGCCTCCCGGGGGCGTGCCTTCCTTGCAAAGCAAGCTGGCAGACGGGCTCTTGGGCAGTCTGTCCAACACCACGGAACGGGGCTCTTCATGACGGGTGTATTATTGCTTTGGATTGTACACACATGCCGCGATCTGCAGCGGTAGCAAAACATGTTTGCGAAGGGGGCAGGGCGCAAGGGATACGGCTTAGATCAGGGCAGGGGTGTGAGGAGCTAGGCATGTACGTATTAAACACTTACGCCCCAACGGATGACGGATCTGGTACCCCAGAGGCTCGCGAGGATACCAATCTTCAGAAGGATAAGCATTGAAAGTGCGTGGAGCAGGCTCTTCGTGCTCTCCCCGCTCGTACAACACTGGTGTGGTCGCGGGACGGCAATGCCCGAGTATCAGATGCCCCCCCATGGGTGGGTGCACGCGGGACCCAATGCCGAGGCGAACGCCACTCATGGAACGACAACGGCCGGCGCTTTTTCACGCTTTTGAAAGACTACGACCTGGTGGCTCTCAACACCCTAGGTGCCAGAACTTCCCCGTCCTGGACGTGGATCAGGCCGGCCGGCCCAAGGTCTAGGATCGACTATCTTGTGACTCGTCGCCGGGGTGGCAAGGGGCAGTCTGCCCGGGTAGACTACAAGGCCAGAGTAAATCTCAGCGGGTATCGCGATCACCGTCCTCTTCTTGCTACGTTCTTCAGGGGTGCTTCCTTCCTCTTGGGGCCGCCAGCTCATAGACAGCAACGGTGGGACAGGGATAAACTACAGCAAGCAAAGCGTGAGTGACGACAGTGGGAGGAGTCGGGGGACGAGCGCCTCCTCGCAGAGGTGGGGAGGTCCGCGTTGGATACTCGTGCCGCCCTCCTCGACTTCCCCGCCATCCCCGAGCCCACCTCCGCAGCAGAGGTCCATAAAGCTTTCCAAGAGTTCGAGCACCGTGTCGTGTCGTCGGCCTCTCCAAACTTCACGGTCGAGCCCACCCCAAAGAAGACGAACAAGAAGAAAAACCGTTTCGTGTTCAGCGATCCCACGCTCAAGTTAAGCAGAGAAAAACAAAAGATCGTGGGCCTCCTTGCCAAACCAGCAAATAGCCAAAATCGTCTTCGAAATATGGCTCTTCATGCCGAACTTCGTGAGGCCCAGAAACTTGCAAAGCGAACCATTCGAGAGGAACGCCGACAAAAACTGCAGCTCCGGTTAGATGAAGCCGAAGTCGCTGCCCGCAGAGGGGACACTCGAACCGTTTTCAAGGTTATCGACAGGGTGGCCCCAAAGCCTTCTGGTCAACGTCTAATCCTTAGGAACGCCAGTGGTCGCTGCTGGACGGAGCGCCAGGAGCAGGACGAGCGAGTTCGCGCCCTGCACGCCATCTTCGGGGGGGGGGAGGTGGACGTCCATCAGGAATTACTCCAGATTTCGTAATAAAAGGGAGGGGGTCTGGACCCTCCAAGACGAGAAGTTTTAGACCACCCCTGTCGGAGAACCCTCCAAAACATCGTCCCCAGACCCCCCCAGGCCCTCCAAGATGGCCTGGAAGAGACCCCCCCCCGAAATGAGACCCCCCTCCCTTTATTACGAAATCTGGAGTACCCAGAGATTTCCGGTCCCAAGGCGATCCCGAGTGGCAGACCCTCCGGGAGCACATCACGGAATCCAGGGTCCGGGAGGCAGTCAGAGAGCTCCCACCTCGCAGGAGTGGTCCGTCTCTGAGGCCCCCCACCGAGGACTGCCCCAGGGCTTCGGGCTGCATTGCAGAAGCTCTTCAAACTATGTTGGCGGCGGTGGTTCCTACAGTGACGATGCTCTGGAACGCTTGCATTAAGTTCGGGGAGGTCCCGCATTTCTTCAAGGACGGGGAGATGTGCTTCCTTCCGAAGCCAGGGACGGGTGGCGCGTTGTCAATCTCCTGCGCCACCTTGGCAAGGCCCTTATCAGCATGACTATCAAAGCATTCGTGCCCAAGATCGGCCCGACCATGTCTAGATGCCAATTCGGTGGTCTACCGTTGAGGAGAACACGGGAGGCCATAACACTGGTAAAAGAGACCCTCCAACGTCTCCGCCACGCCCACCCGGGGAAAGGCAAACATAAGCTTCGGTGTGTCGCCGCCATTCTTTTTGATTGGGGAAGGCTTTTGACAAGATCCCCAGGGCAAACGCGTGGGAAGTGCTCCACCGGAAGGCAGGATCGGCTGGCCTGGCCCTCCTCATGCAGGAGCTTCATGACGGTACTTGCTACTGCTTGGGGGACAAGGATTCCCGGATCGTTCGCCGAGTCAGGATCAGGCAGGGTGTCCGCCAAGGATCTTGCGAGGGCCCCATCGTACGACCTCATCCTCCAGGCAACGCACGATGCACGGAGAGACATGCATTATAAGCCGATCGCCGCTACTTTGTCGAGCGAGTTAGTCGAGCTTAACGATCACGAGGTGGTTGAGGTTCAGGAGGTCGCTTTCGTCGACGATTTAATTTCGCTCCTCGAGTTTTCTGCGTTCTCGGAGGTCCAGGAGTGGGTCCAGAGGGTCATCGCGTCGCATGTTTCGCGGAAGTAAGCATGACAACGAATATCTCGAAATTGGAAATATTAGTCCAGGCATACGGCCGAGGCTCTCGGAAAATCAGCGCCGAAATTCGCTAAAGGAAGGTCTCTCTTGTGATCAACGGGGTCAACGCAGAGATCGGCACGAAAGCCAAATATTTAGGGGCGCAGGTTGAGGCCAGTGGGAGCACACACTCGGAGACGACAGCTCGTGTTAAAAAGGCAGGCCATGCACACCACAGGCTTACCCAACGAGTCCGGCGGGGAGGGCAGTGGGGGCTGCATCTCAAAGTGCGTGTGTGGATGGCTTTAGTTCGTTCAGTGCTCTTGTACGCGGTGGAAGTGCACGTACTCCCCAAAAGGGAACTGCTCCGGTACGAGAGGTGGCAGACGAAATGCCTTCGTCAGATCGCCCGGACTCCCTCACACCTCACCAGAGAGACGTCCGAAGATCTGCGAGCTAGGCTGAAGGTCCCTTCGATCGCTTCGGCGCTGTTGGTTCGACGCTTGAAATGGTGGCGCAGTCTTCTACAATCCGCTTTCACCAATGCCGAGGGGGAGCCTATCGGGGGCAGCCAGGGCGACGACCCTTCTGCTGCAACCCGAGCAGCGCTTCTTGGATCTTTCTCGTTTGAAGGTGAGAGGGTGGGCCCTACCTACGGCTCGACAGCGCGTTCGTTGGCAGATGATCTCGCTCGTCTTCAAGAGTGTAAGAGGCAGGCCGAAGCCGGAGACGATTTTTGTGCAGAGTTCTTGTCGCGGCTCGGCCCTCTTGTGAACAATGTTATTCCACACTCACGAGGAAAGATGCCCTCACACGTCATCGTCTTCATTGGTGTCGTGTCGCTGCTGAGCTTGCACTTGCTGCTGATGCTAAGCCTGCTGCTGCTGCTGCTGCCGGCGATCATGACCATGGTAGCGTACTACGAGAGGGCGGGGGGATCAAGATCGGGAGCATGGAGGACGTCATGGACTGAAAGGACGAGGACGTGGATAGAGGGCGAGGGCCCGGGTCTGGAGGACGAGGGCGAGGAGCCAGAGGAGGATGGGAATCTGGAGGACAAGGGCGAAGATCCAGAGGACGAGGACGAGGATCCAGAGGAGGAGGACGAGAATCCAGAGGGCGAGGACGGGAATCTGAAGGACAAGGGCGCGGATCCACGGGATGAGGACGGGAATCCGGAGGACGGGGGCGGGGGCCCAGAGGACGAGGACGGGAATCCAGAGGACGAGGGCGAGGATCCAGAGGACGAGGTATGAAGGCTGAGGGGTTGGGAGGTAAAGGGTCACGACGTCAGGATCCACCCTCTCCTGTCCGACTGCCTGCTCTGCCACCACCGCCGCTTTCGGCAGCGTCCTCAACTTCATCTGTGCTGGCAGCCTTTCTCGCCCGGGAGCGGCCCCGGGACCATCTGCTCAACAGTCCGGCCGTGCCAGATCGGCAGGAGTCTGATGTTTGCACCCGCGCCCAAGCCGCAGAAGCGGGCCGCCGAGGGCGCGGACGAGGGCGAGGTCGTCGAGGAGCTCGGGAACCAGAAGCAGCTGGTCTTGGCAATGGCGAGGTTACTCCTTCAGCACGAGGGCGATCGTCGAGCCCACGCGAGGGACGACAACATAGTGATGGAGATCTCCGAGGACTGCAGGCCCCAGACTCTTTTGGAGAAGGCGGAGGAGTGCTACAACGAGATGGACGCAACCGCCCCCAAGGAGAAGGACTTCAAAGGCCATCCGGAGGGCAAGAGGCCGGACGCGATGATGCGCAGCATCCTCCAGCGCCTGGCGCAAGTCGTGCAAGAGGGGCAGGCCGGTCTAGGGCCCATCGTCGGAGCGCTCCCAGAACCGGCGAAGACGGACGTGACGCAGGCGCTGGCGCTTCTCCAGGAATGGGGCGCCAAAGCAGGATCACACGCTGGACGCGAGCTTCGGGCGACCCGGTGCTTCCGCATTCCGCCGAACGCTGAGGGCAAGGTGCGCTGGAACTTCGCACTGAAGGCCGAGCCGAAGGTTGAGAGCACGTTCCATATCTTTCGGGCCACTCAGTGTTTGAAGTCTTTCGATATCTCGTTTGAGTTTGACTTTGCTCCGGAGAGCAGTGCGGCCAAGAAGGTGAAAGAACTTGCCTTTGGTGGTAAGAAAGAGGGCCTGGGTCCGAAGACGGCCAAGCGGAAGTGATTCCAGAAATCGCACAGGTGAGAGGGTGAATTTTCCGAGCTGGACTTTCCGGTATGCATAGGGATGCAATGGATTTTTCCAGCAAGTCTTCCAGGGTGCGCTGGGCGAGCGAGTAACGGAACCGCTTGCCTCTACAAAGGTAGCCGGCGAGTGCAGGTGCAGCACAGGCCACAGAGGTGGCCTCCGCTGCTCACTGGAGTGGCCAAATCAGTGAGCATGTGCACGCAGACCGAGGCGTGGGCGCAGATCGGGGCCAGTGGGCTCGTGCAGTTAGCAAAAAAACGTACATAATCCAGGCATGCACCTACGCATGCGTGCACACACACACATAAACGCTTACATAAGTATATGCGCACATTCGCACAACTCACATATAACATGACGCAACATGATCTGCCCTGCGTGAATTGCACCACGTACATTGCTCCACGTATATTGCACCACGCAGGCTCTAGTACATATTTGTTTGGGGTCCACTCTGGCTAATATACATACGAATATATATATATATATATATATATATATTCACGATCGTAGAGTTACAGCTCTAGCTGTTCAGGGAACGCGGGCAACTTCGCAAAGATCGGTGAAACGCCAGTGCCGAGCGTACGGCTTTTCGGAGCGGCAGTTTCTGACATTCAGGCCATGCTGCCAGCGTTTGCCACGTCATTGAGCGCGCCACAGAGGGTGAGCGCGATCCCTACGGCGCTCGGCTCGTGCAACATGGAAAAATGTGTACCTGGGGCCTTCACTGCAACGGCTGCAGAACCGCAGGAAGCCGCCACGCGCTGAGCGACCTCGGCGTTGCTCTGGAAGGTCTTGGACTGGATGGCGCGCACCATGGCCTGAGCCGAGGTCTCCGACTCCGGCTTGGGCAGGAGCCAGGTCTCCTCCGCCGCGAGGGTCACCACCCTCGCTGTCTGCAGCTTCTCATCCGAGAACTTGTGGGTGCCGAGGAGGTGGCTGTACCACTTCGTCGTCTCGTGCACGTGCTCGAGCATCCCGACCACGGCCGGGTTCAGCAGCCGCCGCAAAGCGGATTCGCCGTTCTCCCCAGCGGCAGTGGCCTTCGAGATATCTTCCAAATTAGCAATGAACTTGGACCCGTCAGCCGCGGTCTCCGACAGCAGGGCGAGGCTGTCCACGAGGGTGGTCTCGGAGAAAGTACTGCCGATGTCCACGTTGAAAGGGGGCAAGCTCCGAGCATCAAGGAGTCCAACAAGAACCACCTCGGCGCCACGGCTCTGAGCGACCTTGGCCATCTCGATGGCAATGCTGGCCCCGAAAGAGTGCCCCGCGAAGTGGTACGGCCCCTCTGGCTGAGTGAGCTGCACCTGCTCGAAGAAGAGCGTGGCCAAGCCTACCAGCGTAGTAGGCCACTGCTCGCGCGCGAACGCGCCCTTGGGCCACGAGAAGCCGTAGGCGGGAACAGGCAGCAACCCCGCGAGAGTACGGAAGCCGCCTGCTTGCATGCCTGCTCCAGGCACCAGGAACAGCGGGGCGCCTGAAGTCCTGTCATTGAGCGGCTCGATCAGCCGGGCTGCCTCTGCCGCGGAAGTCTGCTTTGCTGGCGCGGACGCCGAGGTGGCATCGGCGGCCGGAGCGTCTCCAAGCTGCTCGTTGATGAAGAGCGCCAGCGCGTTCACGGTGGGGTGGTCGAACACCAACGAGTTCGGCATCTTTACGGTCTCGAACTCCGCGACCAAGCGGTTGCGGAACTCTACGCCGCTGAGCGAGTCCAGGCCGTTCTCGAGCAGCGCGTCGTCCGGGCCGAGGTCCTGGCTGTCCACGACCTCGCGTGCCATGTTCTGCAAGAAGTTCGTGACAGCCTCCAGGCGCTCCTGCGCCGAGAGGCCGGCCAAGACCAGGGAGCTGCCGTCGCCATCTGCCTTGGCGGGCGCCGCCTTGCGGGCCTCAGCCTCCATGTCGAGCAGGAAGCGCGGCGTCTCCTGGTAGGCGCTGCGGATGTACTTGCCCCAATTTACGATGGCGGCGCCGACCACGGGTTCACCGCTGGCCAACACGCTGCCCATGATGGCCATGCCGTGGGCTGTGCCAAGCGCGCCGACGCCCATGGCCTTGGCGCGCTGCAGCGTGTTCGCCTGCACCGCCATCCCGACCTCGGCCCACGGGCCCCACTGGATGGACCATGCGCTGCGGATACCCTTGGCTGTCCAATGGGGCGCGAGCGAGTCGAGCACAGAGTTGGAGGCCGAGTAGTTCGCCTGGCCTGGCGATCCGAACAACGCCGATGTGGACGAGTACAGCAAGAACTTCGCGTCTGCCTCGAACGACAGCGCCCCGCACAAGTTGTGCAGGCCATGCACCTTCGGGCCGTAGGACTTCGCGAAATGCTCCTTGGTCAGAGTCGGCAGCATGCCGTCCGCGAGCACTCCCGCGAGGTGCAACAAGCTGCCCAACTTCTTCCCGGCCAAGCTCGCAGCCAGCTCCTGCACGCTGGCTGCCTGACCCGCGTCGCACTTTGAGACCAACACCTCCACCGTGGACTTTTGCAGCCACTCCCACTGCGCCAGGGCGTCCGATGAAGGCGTGCCGCCCCGCGATAGCAAGCTCAGCGACTTGGCCCCTTCCTCGGACATGAACTGAGCGGTAACGATGCCGAGAGCACCCATGCCGCCGCTCAACACACTGGTACATTCAGGCCTGCATCCCATCTTACTTGAATCATTGATCACAACCTTGCCAATATTGTTGGCCCTCTGTAAAAACTGAAGGGCGGCAATGCCACGGTCGAAGCCGTCAAAGACGTGCGAGTTGATGGGCGTCAGATGGCCAGCGTCTGCGCGTCCGATGAGGCGCGTCAAGTACTCGTTGTACCTCCAGCACTCCTTCTCCATCATGATGTCCGCCACGATCTTCTCGTATATCACGTCGGGGCGAGCGTTCCTCATCTTCTCGTGGCCCCAGACGCCGCGCTTGCCGATCTCCATGAAGCGACCTCCTTTCCTCAGGACGGCCAGAGAGCGCCCGATGTAGTCGTCGTGGCTCAGGCTGTTGAGCACGACGTCCACGCCATCCACGCCGTCTTCCTCGAGGAAGCGCTTCATATCTGACTCGAACTGCGCCCCGTTGCGCGTGCTGGTGATCCTCTTCACGCCTAGCCCACGCAGGAACTCGTGTTTTTCCTCGGCGCCAGCCGTCGCGTAGATCTCGGCTCCGACGAACTGCGCATACTGGATGGCTACGAGGCCCACTCCGCCGGCGGCCGCGTGGATGAGCACGCGCTCGCCCCTCTTCAGCTGGGCGAGGTCGCCGAGCGATTCCTCGACGGTCACGAAGATGACGGGCATCGCGCACGCCTGCTCGAACGTCCACGACGCTGGCTTGGTGGCGAGGAGGGCCGCAAGGCCGCTGTTGTAGGTGCTCAGGCAGCCTGGAGACTCGCCGAACACATCCTCGCAGATGCTCACGTTCTTGACACGCTCGCCCAGCTCGATCACAGTGCCCGAAGAATCGGCACCTGGTGGGCCAGGGTCGCCTGGGTACAGTCCCATCACGTTCAGCACGTCGCGGAAGTTCAGCCCGACTGCCCGGATGCGCAGCTTCGCGTCTCCAGGCGCCACTCCTCGGCGCACAGCCTGGGCCACGGGCTTCAGGTTGGAGAGAGCCCCGCGGGCAGCCATGTTCAAGCGCATGGGCCCCCTGTAGTCAACCGTGCTTCGTGCGAGCCTTGCCGTGCGCGCATCGCTGGCGTGCAGGGCGAGCTCGTCCTCTCCGCCCCTGTGCGACTCGAGCGCGTCCGCGAGACCTCGGCCCGCCTTGGCCTGAAGGGGGTCCAAGTCCAGGCTCCTCACGGCCACGGCCCCTGGGTACTCCATGCGCACCGCCCGGGCGAAGCCCCAGATGCCAGCGTGAATCGGGGACCCCGCCTTCCTCGCCTCCTCGTCGTCCGAGCTGCGAGGCTGCGCGCCGTCGGTCAAGAGCCACAGCTCGGGGGCCTTCGAGCACTTGGTGGCGGCACGTGTGAGGGCCATGGCCATCGTCACGACGTCCACGTCCCCGGCCTCCTCCAAGAGGCCCTCGGCGAACACCACTGCCTCCCAACTCTTCTCCGACAGGAGAACCTGGACCGCGCCCTCGTCGAGCAAGTCCAGCTGGCCGCCGTGCGCTACAGATCGGAAGCGCTTGTCGCCCTCGAGGGAGAGCTTGGCGAGGGCCTTCGCGCTGCCGAGGGCGAGCCATCGCTCCTGTGTGGAAGACGCCACTGGAGCACCAGCAGGCGCGTCGCGCCATTCCACACCGTATAGGGCCTCCTTCTCCTTGCCCTGCCGGCCGGAAGCCTGCAGGACCTTCTGGATGTGCTCGTCGCGGACCTCCTGCAAGTGTACGTGGTCGAAGTACAGCAGGGCCTCCCCGGCGTCGTTCAGGAGCCATGAGCGGAAGACGGTCGACCTGTCAGTGAAGTCGATCAGCTGGAAGTATGACCACACGGATATGGAGAACGACCGACCCGCCGGCTGCAGGCGCTTGATGGACAGCGGGATCTTCAGCGTACCGATGCCCACGTCGGCGTCCGCGAGGGCCATGGAGGCCTGGAACGAGCCGTCGATCACGGACGGGCCGAGCCAGAAGCCCACGTGCGTACCATCGCGCTCCATCTCGAGGCGCCCGATGGACTCGCGGTTGCCCTTCTGGCAGTGGCGCACCGTGCGGAAGCGCGACTGCAGAGGCAGGCCGCTTTTGCGACCGAAAGAGTACATGAGGTCGATGTCGACCGCATCTGAGCACTGGGCGCGCAGCCTGTCCAGGCTGAAAGAGTCCTGCTCGGGGCGATTGGCCTGCCAGCCGCCCGCCTGTAACACCAATGTCGCCTCCACGTGCGTGGAGCAGATGCTGTCCTCGGGGTCCGTGCCTATCTCGCTCTCCACTTCGACTACGCCGTCGGTGCGGATGACCAGCCGCAACTCCGTCGGCTCCTCTAACTTGCCGTCGACCAGGCGCAGCACCAGTGGCTTGGCGAAGCCGAGGCCCTCAATGCACCAGGCCTGTTCCTTGCCCAAGTGCTGCGTGCACCCTGCGACGATCATCTCGAGGTAGCAGGCGCCTGGCACGACCACCTCACCGTGAACGATGTGGTGCGATAAGAGCTCCAACACGTGCCCCCCGAAGAGGCAACCGTACACCGTGGCGCCGTCAGCTCGGATCGTCTTCTTCCGCAGCAGTGGGTGCCCGGCGTCCCTCCAGGGAAACGACTGGCGCTTCAGTGTCGCAGACGGTGCTGGCAGCTTGGCACCAATATGGTCCTGCGACTTCTGGAACACCTCGGGGTCGGCGCCCGTCTTTTCGTCCATGGACGCAAGCCAGTCCACACCGCGGGACACGAAACGCCTGGCCATGTTTACCAATGTTGGCGCAGCGCCCACCTCCAGGTACGCATCCGGCTTCACTTCGGAGTCCAGAGCCTGCATCGCCTTGTTGAAGAGAACCGCATCCTTAATGTGGTCAACCCAATAGTCAGCCTCTGTAACCTCTGTGGTCACCTCGCGGCCTAGGAGTGTGGAGAAGAACCTGGTGCCCGACGGGGGGCTCAGCGCAGCGGAGGCTACCTCCGCCCGGAAGGGTGCCAGCGCCGGCTCCATGAGCGGCGAGTGGAAGGCGTGGGACACAGTCAGCGGGCGGCTCGTCGCGCCAATCATCTCGGCGAGCTTCTCGACAGACGCGGTCTTGCCACTCACTACTGTCATCTTGGGGCCGTTCACGGCCGCAATGGCCACCTGGGTGTCGCCGAGCTTCTTTAGGGCCTGTCGCACCTCGGCCTCAGGCGTGAAGAGGGCAAACATCGAACCCACACCCGTCTCACATTTCTCCGCGATCAACCGCCCGCGAGCCGCGATGAGGCGCAGACCGTCCTCAAGAGAAAGCGCCCCAGCAGAGACCGCCGCGGCGTACTCGCCGACGCTGTGGCCGAGGACGGCGCAGGGCACCACTCCGCGGGACTTCCAGAGCTCTGAGAGAGCATACTGTACAGAGAAGATGGCAGGCTGGGAGAACTGCGTCTGGTTCAGCAGGCCTTCGCTCTTGCCCTCTGGCGCGTACATCACCTTCAGCAGCGGCTGGGGAAGCAAGCCGTCCAGAACCTTGGCGCACCTGTCCAGCGCCTCGCGGAACACCGGCTCCGTCTCGTAGAGACCCTTGGCCATGCCCACGTACTGCGAGCCCTGCCCAGTGAAGAGCATGGCGACCCTCTTGCTCGCCTTCGCGGCCTGGGGCAGCTCCTTCTCTGCAGTCTGGAGCGCGACGTGGCCGTTCGTGCCGCCAAAGCCGAACGACGAGACGGACGCGGTCGTCATCTTCTCGACCAAGTGAACGGTCTCGGTTGGCAAACCGACCTGGAAATTTTCGAGGTCCTCGAATATGTGGCTGTTCAAGTCCCGCAGATGCAGGTTCGCCGGCATGCGCCTCTGGCGCAGCATTGCGACGAGCTTGGTGAGGCCCGCGAGGCCTGCGCCACCCTCCAGGTGCCCGATGTTGGACTTGACAGCTCCGAGCATCACTGGCCTCTGCCTGTCGGATCCGCCGAGCACCGCCTGCAATGCCCCGAACTCGATCGGGTCGCCCAGCTCGGTGCCGGTACCGTGGGTCTCCAGCGCGTGCAGCGCGCTGGGCGCGATGCCGGCCTCCGAGAGCGCCTCGCGCACAACGGCCTGCTGCGACGGTCCGTTGGGCGAGGTGAGGTTCGAGCTGCGGCCGTCCTGGTTGAGGGCCGAGCCCCGCAGCTCTGCGAGCGCGTGCTTGTCGCCGATCCTCTCGAGCGTCTGAGCTCCTGCGCCCTCCCCGCGCGCGTAGCCCGAGGCGGTGTTGTCGAACGTGCGGCACCGGCCGCCCGCGGACAGCATGTGTGCCTGGCAGCATGCGACGAAAGTCTGCGGGAGAAGCAGCATGTTGACGCCGCAGACGGTGGCCAGGTCAGCTCTCCCGCGGCGCAGCGTGGCCGCAGCAGTGTCCGCGGCCACGAGCGAGGAGGAGCATGCGGTATCGATGGTGGCGCTGGGGCCGCGGAGCCCCAGCACGTAGGAGATGCGGTTCGCGGAGATTGACGAAGAGCCGCCTGTCGCCGCGTAGGGGCCGCCCTGAGAACCAGAGATCATGCGATTCCAATCGCACTTGTCCTGTCCCACGAAGACGCCCGTGAGGCTCCCCATCAGGGTGCTCTTCTCGATCTTCGCGCCCAAGAAGGCCTCGAACGATACTTCCAGCAGATGGCGCTGCTGAGGATCCATGGTCTCCGCCTCTGGCTTCACGATGTTGAAGTGGGCGGCGGCGAAGAGCTCGCCCCCCTCGATGAAGCCGCCGTGCTGCACGTACATCTTCAAGCCCGTGCTCGCCTCGGGGTCGTAGTACTCGCCAGAATCCCATCGGCTGTACGGAACCTCCTGGATGCAGTCCACTCCGGCCATCAGCGTGGCAGCGAAAGACTCGAGCGCCCAGCTGTCGCCTGGCAGGTGGCACGCGGCGCCCAGGATGGCAAGTTGGTCCTTGCCGCCGCCGGGCGCCGAGCTTGCTGCACGCCTCGCGGCCGACGACCCCTTCGAGATCTGCGCCGCAGCCGCCGCCGACGGCGCCGCGCCCTCGAGCTGGTCTGAGACGTAGTTGGCCAGCGACGCCAAGGTTGGGTAGTCGAACATCAAGGTGCTCGGCAGCTTCACGGACCGGAACTCCCCCGAGACTCGGTTGCGGAACTCCACCGCCGAGAGGGAGTCGATGCCGGCCTCCATCAGAGGTGTCTCGTCCTCGACTTCCAAGCCCATGCTTGTGGCCGCCCCTCGGATGGACTTCAACACCGCCGCCGTGCGGTCATCGGACGACATCGCCGCAAGGGCACCAGCCTTGCCTGCCGCGTCGTTGGTGCCGCCGACCTCCACATCCTGGAAGTCCACAAGCTGTGGGATCTCCGCACCCGTCTCGCGAACGAAGGCGGCCCAGTCCACCCTGGCAAGCAGCAGCCCGCTGGACGGCATGGCTTTCGGCCCCGGCAAAGTCAGCGCCAGGCGCAGCGCACTGGCAACCTGCGCCGGCGAAAGCGTCTTGAGAGACATGCCCTCGAGGTGCGAGTCTGCGTTCGCGGCGGCCGTCATGCCGACTTCGGACACGGGCCCCCACTTCAAACTGACGCCGCCCTGCCTGGAGTACCGCCAATCGGCGAGGCCGTCCAAGTACGCGTTGGCCGCCGAGTAGGCCGCGCCGCCTGCCAGGCCGACCACGGCGGAGACGGACGAGAAGAGCACGAACAAACCGAGGTCCAGGGACTCAGTGCTGCTGTGCAAGTGCCAGGCGCCGGCCGCCTTGGGGTCCAGCGTCTTGGACATCCGCTCGAAAGTCAGATCGGCGAGCGAGCACCTGTCCAGCACGCCCGCTGCGTGCACGATGCCCGCCGGGCTTTGGACGTTGTCCTTGCAGTCCTTAACAAGCGAGGCTACGCCCGAGGCCGACGACACGTCGCAGCTGCGTGTGTGCAGCGTCATGCCCTGGTGCGACTCGAGCCAGGCGAGCTGCGGCTCGAGGCCCTGGCCATGCGCCAGCTTGCCGCTGCGGGAGACCAACATGACCTCCTCAGCGCCCAGCTCGGCCAACTGCCGTGCCGCGACCAAGCCCAGCCCTCCGAGGCCGCCGGTCACAATGTGGAGCCCGCTCACGAGCCGCTTGTCCTGCATAGCGTCGCGCATCTGCAGGGAACTCGCCGCCGCTGGGTCCTTCACGACGCGCGGCACGCAGCGGCCCTGTGTGGTGTAGGCCACTTCCACCTCCGTCTCGGGCTCCTGCAGCTCGTCCGTCAGCATCTTCGCAGCCGCCTCCGCGGTCGCGCCCATCGGCACGTCGACGACCTTGATGATGGTCTTCGGCATCTCCATGCGGGCCGTCCTCACGAGACCCCAGATGGCAGATCCCGCGTCGAATTGCTTACGCTGCGAGTCGTGGGTGCCCCGGGTGCCGACCACGAGCGTCTTCGGCGCCTTGGCGTTCGCCAGCTGGGCTCCCTGGAGGAAGGCCAGCGCCTCCTGCAGGGCTGTCCCGGGCAGCGCGTCGCTCGCGCCCAGAGTCCGCGTGAGCACCGCGGCCTGAACGCTCTCTGTGGCGAAGGCCGCCGCGACGTCCTTGGCGGTGAAGCCTGCCAGGTCAGCCTTCGTGCTGGGCGTCAGCGCCTTGCACGCTGCATCGGCTGTCTCGCCGCTGCCCATCACGAGGGTCTTGCCGCTCAATGGCACGCTCAGCGTGGCCGGGGACGCGTTCCACTCCTCCCTGTACATGACCGTGTCGAGCCACTCGCGATAAGGGCCGACAACTTTCCTGTTCAGCTGAACCAGCGGCCGTTTGGGCTTCTCCCCCGTGTGCGAGGGCGCCTCCGCGATACCGTGGCCGTTGGTACCGCTGAAGCCGAACGAGGAGACAGCACAGCGTCTCGTGCCATTCCACTCCATCAACGAGTCGGGCATCAGCACGGGGTAGCCTGAGAGGTCGATGTTCGGATTCAGATTCTCCAACATGAGATTCCCCGGGATCTGCTTGCTGTTCAACATGAGTATGACCTTGCTGATACCGGCAATGCCCGCGGAGCCTTCGAGGTGGCCGATGTTAGACTTGATTGCCGCCAGGACCATCGGCGCGTCCTCGCTGCGGCCCTTGCTGTACACCGCCTTCTGGGCGCCGAGTTCGATCGGGTCACCCAGTGCGGTACCCGTGCCGTGGCACTCGACGCACGTCACCTCATCTGGCTGCGTGCCGCGCTCGGACAGCGCGCTGCGGATCACCCGCTGCTGCGCTGTGCCGTTCGGGGCCGTGATTGTAGCAGCCCGCCCGTCGTGGTTCGTGGAGACGCCGCTCAGGGTTGCCAAGTTGTAGCCCTCGTCCTCGAGCTGCGCTATCGGCTGGATCATCGCGCAACCCAGGCCTTCGCCGCGAGCGAAGCCGTCGGCTCGGGCATCGAAGGTCTTGCAGCGACCGTCGAAAGCCAGGCCACGCATCTTCGAGAAGCCAATCCAGATGGACGCAGCCAACTGCACGTTCACTCCGCTAGCCACGGCGTTCTTGCACTTGCCCACGCGGATCGCCTGGCAACCAGAATCCAAAGCCACTATCGTGGAGGAGCAAGCCGTGTCAACCGTGAAGCACGGACCGCGCAACGACAACACGTGCGACACGCGGCCAGAGCAGCCGGAGTACGCCGCTCCGATGTTTGAGTAGGGCCCGAGGGCATTCAAGTCCACGTCTGTGCCGCCGATGTTGCAGCATCCCACGTACACCCCGCAGTCCAGGCCCTGGAGAGTGTCCTTATTGAAGCCAGCGGCGTGCAAGCCCTCGTACGTGATCTCGAGCGACAAGCGCTGGTGCGGGTCCATGGCGCGCTGCTCGCCCTCGTGCACACCGAAGAAGTCGCCGTCGAAGTGCTCGACGCCAGGGATGAAGTGGCCGAGCTTCACGTACGTCTTCCCAGGCGCGTCCACGTCAGGGTCGTAGTAGGCGTCGATGTCCCAACGCTCAGGGGGAAGCTCTGCGGTGGTGTCCTGGCCCATGCTCATCATGTGCCAGTACTGCGACACGTCGTTCACCAAACAGCCTGGGTAGCGGCCCGCGTGGCCCGACAGGCACAGCTGCATCCCTGCGTCGCCGATTGCGCCGCCGCCCACCCCGTCCTCCTCCTCCCCTGAGGCACCCACCTGCGAGTAGATGAAGTCCACGAGGTCCGGAACGGTGGGGTAGTCGAACATGAGAGTCGACGAGAGCGCGAGGCCCTCGAATGACGCCTGCAGCCGGTTCCTGAATTCCACGCCCGCGAGTGAGTCCAGTCCCATCTCCATGAGCGGCGTGGAGAGGTCAAGGTCGTCCGAACCACTGTCCATGACGTCCGCGAGCACGCCCACGACCACAGTCTTGATGTCGTCCATGGTCATGCCGCCCGCCGGCATCGCTACGGCCGACTTGGACGCGGATCCACCGCCGAACTTCATCAGCAGCGGCGGCACCTTCGGCAGCTGGCCCATGAGCGACTTCCACTTGATGCGTGCCACCCCTACGACGCCGCTGTGCAGCACGGACTGGCTCGTCAGTATCGCCTCCATCACCTCCAGGCCGCGCTGCACGTCGATGCGGGCAATGCTGCCCTCCGCCGTGCCAGCGCGCGCCGCCATGCCCACGTCGGCCCAAGGGCCCCACTGGACGCTCAGAGCGGCGAGGCTGTTGGCGCGGCGGTGGACTGCAAACGAGTCCATGAATGCGTTGGCAGCGGCGTAGTTGGACTGCGCCACGGATCCAATCATTGTTGCCACGGAAGAGAACATCCAGAAGTGGTCCAGTTCGAAGCCCGAGGCAGCCTCGTGCAAGTTCAAAGTGCCGTCCACCTTGGCCTTCATCACGGTCTCCAATTTCGACCTGTCCATGTCGGCAGCCATGCCGTCGGCCAGGGTGCCAGCCGCGTGCACGATACCTTTCACGCCCGTCAGCCCAGCGAACACGCGCTTGACGTCGGATGCGGAGGCGATGTCGCATTTCTGCACAGTGGCTTTGCCCTCCACTTTTCGGAAGGCGGCCTTGGAGTCCGCTTGTGGCATGCCGCTCCGGGACAGCAGGGCGAAGTGCTTGGCGCCCTTGCCCATCATCCACTGCGCGAAGAGGAGCGCCAGAGCTCCGGTCCCGCCGCTCATGACGTACGTCGCGTCGACCGGGAACGTGATGGGCTCCGTAATCTCCACCTCCACCTTGGCAGTGCAGTCGACCAGCCGCGGTGCCAGTAGCGCGCTGCTCCGCTCCGCCAACTCGGGCTCCGACGTGGCGCCCAGCTTCGCCGCGCGGAGCATCTGCTGCAGCAGTCCGGCTCCCGCGTCGGCATCGATGCATGCGGCCTCCTTGTCGGGATGCTCGTTCCTCCAGGTGCGCACCAGGCCCCAGATGCCAGCGTGCGTGGGCACGGCGGCGCCCTCCAGGTCACTCTGGCCAGACGCAGCCTGGGTCTGCCGCGTCGCCAGCCACACCTGCGGCGCATCGGCGGTCTTCGCGGCCGCCTGCAGGAGCTTCAGCGTGGAATCGAGGACGTCCAGTGCGGACAACTCCGAGCTGAGCCCAGCAAAACCGAACACCTTCGAGAACTGCGCCAAGTCTGCTAGAGGTGCCTCGGCGGACGTCGTGTACGTGTGGCTCGCGCCCAGCTCCGCCTTCAGCTGCGCCTGCAGGGACGCGTCCTCCGCGATCACGAGCCATTCCTTCTCGTCTGCGGTAGTCTCGGCCTCTGCCTCAGCGTCTTCTTTGTAGACTGGAACCCAGTCCACCTCGTACATCTTGTGGTCGTCTTCCACGGTGCTTTGGGCGGCGATGGCCATCTGGATCTGCTCTGGCAACACCTTCCTGAAGACGACGTCGTCCATGATGAAGACCGGTGTGCCGCTGCTGTTCATGACAGTCACGTCGAAAGTCTCCGACGCCTCCAGCTTCTCCTTGATATTCAGCAGGATCCAGTACTCCTCCAGCTGGGAGAAGTTTTCCTTCTGCAGCACGGTGACCCTGCCCACGCCTCCGAAGATCTTCAGGTCATTGACGTTCTTGCCAATGGACGCCGTGCCCAGCGTGTGGATGGTGCCATCGAACAACGCAGGGTGCACGCAGTACCCAACGTTGGGCACGCTCGGGTCGAGCACCAGGCGACCCAGGACTTCGATGGGGCCGCCCTCCTCGTCGGGCTCCTTCCGCCACAATTGCTTGGCCACCTGGAACATCGGGCCAAGCCACAAGCCGACCCCGTCAATGGCGGAATACACGTCCGCGACGGGGACGACCTCGGTGATGCGGTTGCGCGCCTCCTCGAGATCCACGGGCTTCGAGCGCACCTCGTCGTTGGGGCCCTCCTTGAGGTCGATGCCGCCCTCGGCGTGGGTAGTGGTGGCGCCTGTGGCAGAAGTGCTCTGAATCTCAAAATTCTTATCGCCTCGCAATACGAAACGCATCGTGGCTGGCGGCTCCGCCCCACTGGTTCTGTATGGCACGACGAAAGGGAAGACCATCGTCATGTCAGTGACGCGCGCGGCGTGGCCGAAAAGCTCCCTTGTCGCCTCCAGTGCCATCTCCGCGTAAACAACTCCAGGGACGACGATGGATCCGAAGACGATGTGGTGCTTGACGACGTCGTACACGTCGCATTTCATCACCACCTCGAACTGCCCGTCGGCCGGCCGCCCCCGCAGGAAGCGGTACCCCGGGTCGCGCCACGGGAACTTGCGCCTAGTGTACACAACCGGCGCCAAATGAGCCGGCTCCGGCAAAGAGCCAGTCTCGTCAACCTCCGTAAGCACCGCGTGCCCGTTGGTGCCGCCGAAGCCGAAGGAGGAGAGGCCGCCGCTCATGCGGCGCGACGAGAGCGTCAAGTTCTCCGTGGCGAACAGGGACGGCAGAGAGTCGAGAGCCTGCAAGTTCGGGTTGAGCGTCTGCAGGTGAATAGTGGAGACGCTCCTGCCACTCGACAGCACCTGCACCAGCTTCAGCAGCCCAGAGGAGGCGGCGGCGCCCTCCAGATGGCCCATGTTGGCCTTCACGGCCACGAGCAGCAGTGGAGCGGCCGTCGCACGTCCAACGTTGACGACTTGCAAAGCACCCACCTCGATCGGGTCGCCCAGCGGCGTCCCGGTGCCGTGGCACTCCATGTGCGTGACGTCCTGCGGCGTCATGCCAGCCTCCTCCAGCGCCACCTTCATCACCATCTGCTGCGACGGGCCGTTGGGCGCCGTGAGCGTCGAGCTGCGCCCGTCCTGGTTCAGGGCCACGCCCCGCAGCATCGCCCTGGCATTACCGCCTGCATCAGCCATACGCTGCAACACTGCCGCGCCAGCGCCTTCGCCACGGCAGTAGCCGTCGGCCGACGCGTCGAAGGTGAGGCAGCGGCCCTGGGGCGACAGCATGCGCGGCTTGCTGAAGCTGATGTAGGTGGACGGGTGCGCCATAACGTTGCACGCAGGGCTGACGCCCGCAATGCACTGAGTCCGGCGCATCGTCACCGCGGAGGTGTCGAGGGCAACCAGTGCAGAGGAGCACGCCGTGTCGACAATGTAGGCTGGTCCTTTCACGCCGAGGGAATAAGAGACGCGCGCGGCGGAGATGGACGCAGACATGCCCGTCGCCGTGTAGGGCGTAATCTTCTTCAGGTCCTGCGCCTGCATCTGGATCCAGTCGTTGTTGGTCTGGCCCACGTGCACGGCCACGTACGCGCCCATGAGGGCCGACTTGTCGAAGCCTGCGTCGCGCAGGCTGTTGTGCGCGACCTCGAGTACCAGCCTCTGCTGCGGGTCCATCGCCCGCGCCTCTGGTGGTGTAATGCCGAAGAACGCGGCGTCGAAATTCTCCGCGCCCTCGATGAAGTTGCCGTGGCGCGGGTACATCTTCCCTGGCGCGTCGGCATTGTCGTCCTGCCACTCCTCGAGCTCCCAACGCGTGAACGGCACCTCCACCGCCCCGTCGGTGCCGCGCGTGAGGCCGCACCAGAGCAGGTCACAACTGCTGGAACCGGCGGGGAACAGGCACGCCATGCCTGTGAATTCAAGAGGTCGCATTAGTGTCACCTGCTTTCCCCGAGAAGTGCCAGATGATAACAAGAGTGCTGATTCGGGAGATTATCCAGAACATATTCCTCACATTATGTTGCAACCAATATGCAGCTAATGATGTTCACACGTAACCACTACCCAAGACCTACGCTGTAATACGCCATCGCACTCAGGATGTGCACTTTGGAACTTGAAATCTCTTGTGCCTAGACTTGGTGCCACGCGTTACCCAAGGGGGAACGCAAAATTCAGGCTCAGGGGAAACACAGAAACAACGGGGGTCAGTCCCCAACGCGGTCGGCCGGGAATGGCCACATGGTCAAATTCCAATAGTGTTTCCAAAAAGTGTCTGCCGAGCCGCATTTCGAAACAACATTGACCAACGAATTGGATTCACGGCGGCTCCATGGCCAAGACTCAGTGAGCGTGGTGCTCGCAGGGTCTATCATTCTGCTGAGCGCTTTCTCACAGGCATTGCAGTGCGTATGACGAATGTAGCACTTATACAATGCTGTTTAGAATCGTTTTGGCACTCAGGCTCTCACATACAGCGTGGTGCCCACATGCGCCGCTCGTGTTTTCACGAACTTACTGGCAGGTTGGCGATCATAAGCGCTGGTTGTTCGTGGATGCTGTCGTGGGCATCAACATCATGGTAATCAAGGGTTCCCCCATAACGTGGGGGAGAACACGTTGACATAAACACCTGAATATTGGCGAACAACCTGGCCGCTTTTGTGAGCGATCCCACGCAAACCGCGAACAGTTATATGTGACGCGATTGCCAGAGCGAGACCAGGGTAGGGGGGAGGGCCGTGTGAAAACTACAGCGCCCAACATGTGAAATCGATGTTGGCGCGTTGGCTGCAATTGGAGCGCCGCTCTGCGTTCACCGCACAATGGCGTTCACACTGGGCAGAATGGTGGATCAACCAGACGTGACAACATGCATGACCCGCGTGCCCACGCGCAAAGGCAACATGAAGACCCCATGGATACTGTCATGCACGTGGCTTGCAGGCTGAAGTGCTCGTGCTCTTGCTGCTGCAGCCCGCCACTTTGGTGTGAACCCTGTCACGGGCTGGTAAAAAGGGGGAGCGCAACTTCCAGGAAAACTCCGCATGGCAAGGCAGCGGCAACAAGAGGCCCCAATCTTGGGGGCCTCCGGGAGGTCCCACAGCAACCCTAGAGCCGCCTCCAAGAAACTCCCGAAAAAAGGCCTCCCACGATATCCGCGCAATGGCCCTACAGCCATCTGGCCTACAACCCAGGCGCGGTGGCGGGCTGGGCCCAAGGACGCTACATCCGACGCCCCCTGTGGCCTGGTTTGCCACAAGGGTGCTCGGCGTGCCACACTTGTAAAAGGGTTCGGTCCTTCCAAATGTTCCCAATGGGGTCTCAGTTTGAAGGGGGCTGGGAGGCCCAGCCAGCAGCTTCGCCTTAGGCGAAGCCAAGCTCCTGTTTGGTTGTACCGTAGTAGCGATAGTCCCAGTAGGAGAGGACGTGCCATCTTCAGCAATAGGAAAGTCCTTTTGGTCTCGATAGCGATTCTGTGCCTCGTACTGAGGCACAATCATATTTGGGCGGCCGGCCGCTTGAGCCGACGCGGCCGCGGGCGCACGCTCGCTTCCACTCCTTACGTCCCTCAGCTCGCTTTAGAGTCGGGGGGGGAGGGAAACGAAGCGTGAGCCCGTCACCCCTATACAGCAGGCACAACAGCTAGTGCACACAAAGACAGAAGAAAGAGAGCGGGCCAAAAGGAAGGTAGACCCGCTCGCAAGTTGCCTCGCTTGTGCAGTTCTGTACTTGACGTACTCATCAGGCGGCGTCAGAACTTGATGTCTGGCAGGCCCGATGTGGAGTATGTCTCTTTAGGTCATGCTTGAAGGCCCGTATACCTCCCATGACTTGTAGGAGCATTCCTCTGTCGATGCTCCCCTTGGTGTGACCATCCGCGGTCATATCGCGGGTGTCGCACCACTGGATGCTGTGCGCGATCCCACGCTCCATCATCTGTCGTATCCAACTGATGTGTCCTACAAGGGTGCACCCAGTCGGCTTCTTCAAGTCTTTGCTTGACATGGACTTAAAAACAGGTTCGGCATCTATGGTCAAAGTGACCTTGATGCTCAGGACACCGAACTCAAATATATATATATATATATCAACTGAGTGGGCGTGAGCGGCCCTGCGTGAAGCTCGTGCAGAGTCACAATCGTGGGGTTGCAGCTCGAGCGGACCTGCAAGCGGCGAGACTTGCAGTGCGCATCGATCAAGTGAACGACAGGCTTACCAGATGGCGTGTTTCCACGTCGTAGCAGGTTTGCCCCGCGAGCACCATAGCCTGTGACGTCGTCATCGGCGTCTCCACTCAGGCGTCCGTATCCTGAGTCGCGATGCAGGTCGACGTCGCCTGGTAGACGATCTTCTTTGGGCAGGCCTGCAGCTTCCTGGCGATCGCGTTCAGTCGTCGCAGTTGGATGTCGGTCGGTTCTTGGACACGTCGTAGAGAAACAACATGCACCATCGACCACACCTGAGTGATTAATGCGTACGCCAGCGCGCCCCTGAGGCTGACGAACACGCCTGGAAACATCTCGGTTGCCTGAGCGCCAGCGTCGGCGCCGGTCAATTCGGGACGTTGTATAGGACGGAGCTCTTTGATGTATTCATCTTGGTCCGAAGAGGCATTTCCGTCCTCATCCTCGGTGTATATCACAACGCAGTTGGTGTATGTGTGCTTGTTGAAGTTACACTTACCAAAGGTATCTTCAATGCGCTTGACATATTCGCCCTTGGTGTCCTCAGTACCAGCCGTATTAATGTCATCACCGTGCTTGGCCGTGAGCAAGTTGTTGCTCGTCTCGAACTCCTCGTCGTAGGACGTGGGTCGGAGACCGAAACCTCTAATGGGCCTTCTAAGCTTAAGTGAGAAAGCCCGTGTTGCGTCTTTGGTGCCTGTGCCTGGTTTCAAGCACTGTAGGCAATGCTTTGACTCATCGTAGTGCTCGAACCCTGGGAGAGTTCGGAGCACCGTGGCCGATCCAGGCGGCAGAGTAAAACACACCACGCGTTCTTTCTCACCAGTAGCCTCAGCAAGTTCCTGATAGGTCAGTCCCTTCAGGAAGGCCATGCTGATGTCGAGGGAAGCAATGATCCATTGCTTCTGGCACGCTGCCGCGCTAGCGAGTAGCCTCTGGCTTGACCGTCGCGCCGTTCCCGAAAATGTTTCTGCGTCGAAGCCTTTCAGGCTCATGAAACCTCGGAGAATCAAGCGTAGTCTGATGGTGCGTTCCATCTCGCCCATCCAGTTCTTCACGAACTTACATGTGTACACGTGTCTCGAAGTCATGATGTTCGACGCTTTAGCTATATCTTGCATCTTAAAACACTTGTTATCGAACCAAGTCTTGAGTTCAGTGTAGAGGGCCTTCGGTACTTTATCGGGATTCGCCTGGATGCCAGCTTTAGCGAGGAGGTCGTCTCCCTTGACGACCACAGCTCGCTTTGCTGCGGCGGTTACGCATGCTCGCACAGTAGTCACCCGGTCGGCATCCAGTGTCATGTGTTGTTCTTCGGACAGGACTACCTTTGACATGTCTGTCGTACAACAGAGTTCGACATGTCGACTATTTTCATCTGAGTCCAGTCCGTAGTTGTCGTCTTCGACCATGATGGACATTGGGGCGTAGTACGTCTCCTCGGTATCGGAGTCGTGAGTGCGCCCCCACTTCGGCAGGTGTCCTCGCTGTTCATCAGCTACAGTGGTCAGCACACTTTGATCTGGAACCATCTGTGTAGGTATGGCGAAGAGGTTATCTGGTGGAGTTGCCTCCAGCAGTTCCTTTTCCTCTTGTAGTTCTGCATGCCACACCTCCATAACATGCGGCTCGAGATCAGCCTCTGATCCTTTGCAAATCGTAGAAAGCCGCACATCATCATGTGGTGGTTCGGCTTCTGAAGCTTCTCTTGTGGTTCCCTCCGGTGTCGGTGTGCCAATTCCTCAAATCTTGACATGTCCTGATCAAAACCTGCTTGAGGTTTAGTGGACTTCAGGCATTGACTAATGCTCGAATGTGCTGGTCCAATTATATCGTGTATATTCAGAGCCGTACCTTCTGCTTCATAATAGCGGAATCCTGGATTTACGTCGTTGTCGTAGTGGACCAATGTGCAGCTGTCGGCAGAAGTAACCGGAGGCAGCGTATGAATACTCTTGGCTGGCCCGACTGAAACTACATTCTCAATGCGAGAGAAGTTTCTGATAAGGTACTGCAGCGCTAAATGTACATTGGGAGATAGACGGCTTGCACTCGTCATCTGAAGCGCCCCTTTCTTGGTCGGCACATAGCCAGAGGTCAGAGCAGGTCTCCCCGCCGATGCGCTGGCTACGAATGTTAACGCTGTGCGTGGTGCAGTGTTGTCGGAGCCAACCTCTCGGGCTATCAGTGCTTTAATGTATAATGAGCGTCATGCATCGCCGCATTGTACTTGAACATCTCGTTTGCCTGCTCGGATGATGACCTGACCCCTTTCGGGGTCATTCTTTACAACTGGGAACGGGCCATTCCAGCCTTCGCAGTCATCCTTCGTGGTCGCGGGGCGATGATGATCGACCAAGTCCCCTTCGTCGTAATAGTGCTGACCAGTAATAGCCGCTTTAGTGCGTAAGGCACGATTGGTCTTAGCTGCTGCTGTTGCCTGTGTGATAGCTTCAATCCATACCCTGCGTATCATCTGTTCACGAGAATCGCCCGGCGTTTCCGTCGGCTGTTCGCGGTCCAGGAAGGTCAGGGAGCATTGCCGGTTGCCGCCCAAACAGAGCGTTACATGGCGACACCTGGTTCTATAAGGTGAACGCGTTGGCGGCGAAGAGGGCCCCGCGCAGTAGTCGGGTGAACGCAAGAGGTATCTCTAGCCTATTGAGGTCAGCTTCCGTGACGTGAAGTAGATGGCGTAGGATGCCATTTCTGGCCTCGATCGC